TTTTACGAAAGAGGACCAAAAGGACTTTTACCCTCCCAAAAGTAGATTCAAACTCAGGTCATCAGCCTTGATAAGGCTTTGCTCCTACAATTTGAGTTGTATTTTAACCTTAACCTCAGTTACATGTTTAAACCATTTTACAATAGTTTTGGCCTTTTGGTCATTTCATCTAGTTCTAATAAGATTCAAGGAGGTAAAATCTCATCAATTGCATTAACGATATTTAATAGAGTGATTGAATTTGAAATAAAATTTAAGAGCACTTTCAAGAAACTCTTTAAACGTAAGACGCTTTCTATTTTAGAGAATCAACATTTAAAAATATGTTTTATGAAACTATATATATTAATTTCTTAAAATAGAAAGTGAGCCTCATTCTCCATTTATATTTTATAAGATCACATTTAATTAGTTATAAATTTCAATCTTCTACTTCTTAAAATATTCAAATGATGTTTGAATTGATTCACATTGGCATATAAAAAGTTCATGTTAAAAGCAAAAATAGAGAGTTTTTGGAATGCATGGAAAATTTTAATCTCTAAAAATGCTCTCTTTATTATGTATAAAATGTTCTTTATAAATAGAGCGTTTCTTAGTGATGCTTTAAATTTAAATACTCGATAGGGACTTTTCAGAATTGGAGGACACAATTGAGACTTGGTTCAGAGTTGGGTGACCTTAATAAGATTTACCACAAACATTTTAGGTAGACCTTATGCTTGAAACTGACTTGGAGGAGATATTGATTAATATCGATAAATTTGCCAAGTAGGCATTTCATAAGACATTCAAATTGATTGTTACCATTCACCCTTCTTCGAACCAGTGTTCACGGTGGTCAATTTTTATCAAATTATGTGGACTTGAAGTAACTTGTCTTTATTTAGGTCATCTTGCGAACAAGAGTTAAATAATATTGGGTGCTCTTATACCATTTTTCTGAACGCTTTTAAACAGGACTTACAAAGCTAGATGCTAGAAGTATTACTAAACTCACAAAACAAGTGTTTTGGGATGTACAAGGTTTAATCGTGCTAACAAATAACCAAACCGAGTGTAGAGTGAGCGAACACAGAGTAACACAGCTCACATTTGTCCCCACGAAATAAAACGAGAGGCAATCAACTGTCTAGCAGATGAAGCTATTTCTACCCACCTCTCATCCTTCATTTCACGTCAATTTAGAGGATAATTCTCGCAATAAAACAAAATACCTCGCTATCGCTATAATCTCGACAAATCACACTACTTATACTATTTTTCAAAACCCATTTCAAGAATTTCATTTTTCATTCAAAGTTAAAAATCGTAATGGGTTGTTTTGATTTAGCTTAATTGAGGATATAAATGATAATGTTGCCTGTTTGCTCGGCATCCACCAGCTGCTCTTATCATTCACGGGTGAGATATTTTGTTTGTGAATGTTAGAATTTCAAATTTCACATTTTCATGTGGGTTAGGGAGCATAGCATTTATATGATTTTGGGTTATACATTGTTGTAGATTCTATCCCTATATAAGACTGATTAGGTAACATTGAGATTAGAAAAGAAAATTGGATTTAATTGATTTGGAGATCATTGAATTTGATTATTGTAAACTGTTAAGAAATCAAATGGAATTATTAATTCATGTCATTTAATACTTGAATACTGAGATCAATATGATAGTTCTCCAAGAAACATGCTTGTCTCAGTATGTAAATTTCCAATTTTAGCTCCAAGAATGGAAGTTAATTAACCAGTGAATTTGGGACATGTAGCTATAAAACCCAACATGGGACTTTAGACATACACTAATCAACACGGATGGTTGATTGTTGGGGATTTGTATTAGTTGATGGTAGATGCCTGGAGATGACCTTCATAATGAACACTTCAATTCTGTGTCAAAATGAATTTCCATCGAAAAAATAAAAAGAATTTGATTTAAGATTAAATAAAGAAAATAAGTTGCTACATGGTTGTTGCTGATGATACGGAGAATTTCAAAATCTTTGAACTAATCTTGAACTTTGATTGTGCCAACCTATGCTCTTCTTATCATCCTGAAATTGTAGAAATGTTTATTCTATCACAGAATTCTCAACATGGGCAAAAGCATAATTAATGTAATCTACCATTATGGGACGTGATATTTTTGATAAAAGCAAAACCTCCATCTTGTTAGTAATGACAGAGGGAAAACCATAAAAAAAAAAAAAACTTATCGTTGTATTTCTTTGTGCATAATTACAAAATGGTAGCAGGTAATAGAAAGCAAATGGTTGAGGGAGCTGAAAACAAGTAGCTTTTGAATGTATATAATGGAATGGTTTGGAAGTTGAAATAAGCATTCTAGTATCTGCATTACCAGTGACGAGTTCTCCAATTACATATATATTTTATAATGAAAATTGATTATCTAGGATAAATTGGGTGAATACACAAGGGTATTGCTGGAAAAAAAAGAATGTTTTCTCAAATTCAGACATTTCAGTAAAAACATTAAAAATCAGATAAGATAGATTTAGTAAAGTCATACCTGAAATTAATTATGCAAATGAAATCATTAATTTTGCAGTTTCTCCATGGAGGGTTGAATCCCTTTTCCTCATATTGGAAGACATTTGAGGATAATTTCAACACTGTGGACAGAGTAGTCCACAACTTCTCAAATGGAAGACTTCCCTTCAAGAGACAACCTGCTTCATGTTTCTTTTCTAACTTTGTTGAAAACGGTGAACGATCTGGCTCCATGGATTGTATTAACAGATCAGTGCGTCAGAGCAAATTTGACGACATAAATATCAATTTCAGTTATCCAGTTGGGGTAATTGATGAATCACACCCTTTAGGACCATCCAATTTGAAATTTGTAGACAGCTCTAGTTACTCTACTGGAGATGATCAGCTAATGGATATTACCAGTAAAACCATTGAATATACTGATATCTTAAATCCTGAATTAATTATACCAATAGACGGTGCACCGGACGATCCTGCCTCGGTCTCTGATTCAGTCAACATGAATGTAAATTCCTTATCTGATTTGAAAACAAGTGCTGCTGATATTTTTGCTGAACTGAATGAATCCATTGCTGATACGATCAATAAAGGAGAAAATGCTCTGAACAACTCTTTCAATACTATCACTTCATCCGTGACGACTGCTCTCGGGAGTGCTAATGAAGCAGTTGATAATGCAATCAATAAAATCATATCGGGCATCACTAAATCTGGGGTATCTGCTGGTGATAAGTTGACAGGCTTGTCCAGTGATATAAAGCAAACATCAGGTAAGGTGGGGCTTGTTGCACTTGATGTGTTGAGGCGATCAATCGTGGTGGTTGAGGATTATTTAGGACAGGGGATCACCTATGTTGGATATGCTTATAGTTCTGCTAAGGAATCATTTCCTTCAGAACTTCGAGATGCACTTAATTTATCTGAAGAGAGCGTGATAAAAGTATTGAGGCCGGTTGGAACTGCTTTTCAACAGGTATATTCCATATTTATTTGCTTGTAAAATATAGAATAACACATTAAGTAATATGTTTGATGGTCGTGATACTTTTTTCTGTTACTAATTTTCATACTAGAGATAGATTTTAGTAGGATATCGTGAGATATTAAGAATGATTAGGAATGGTCAGAACTTAATTATTATGAGTCACCTGCTTCATTGTAGAAATAAACATTGAGATTTTTAAGGTTCTTATGCGCATTGTGATATACAGGTTTCCATTGGTTTAGAGGGATTTGAAGAACGTCTTGGCTTGGACCCAAATGATCCCCTCATCCCAGCTGTTCTTTTTCTTGGAGTGTCAGCCACTACATGGTATAATCTACCTCTTTTTCTTATTTACTTCATCTTTCCTCTAGTTCACGTTGCCATTGGAAATTAGATAATGACTTCTTCCCCTTCTTTTAGACCTAGGAAGAGTTACATTTTTCATCAGATTTCTGCAGGGTTTCTTATCGGGTATTAAAGTACAGTGGATATGCTGGAGATTTATCTCCCGAGTCAACTTTGGAGCTCCTGTGCAGCAACGGGAATGTTGTTCTTATTGATATTAGGCCTGAGGCAAGAGACTGTAAATTTTTTTTGCCTTTTCTTTGTAGGATATTATTTATATTTTTAATTCTCTTTTGTTGTCTTCTCTATTAGTTGTAATTTGGTCGAATAGTTTACTTCAGAGCTTTTATCAATTACAACCCTTCCTTTTCCATCTTTTTTTTTGCCAATATTATGTTACGGAGAACTATTCTCTATCCAGAGTAACCTGATTTTACTGTTGATTTTTGGGTTTGGTTTTATGGCTGTGAAGAATCTCAGGGAAAGGGATGGCATTCCTGATCTTCGACGGGCAGCTCGGTTTCGATATGCTAGTGTAACACTACCTGAGGTTGGTTTTACCTCTAACCTTTGTAATTTGAATTAGTTTTAATTTGTAACCTTTACTTGGTGATGAAGACTTGGCTATATACAAAGGAAACTGAAAAAGAAAAAGAGGATGCACCCCTCAGAAAGATTAACTTCCTTCTGTGTTCTTAAGTAACTTATTTGAATTTTCAGGTTGACAGTTCTCTGAAAAAGTTGCTGAAGACAGGAAGAAACTTTGAGGACATGTTGCTTGCTGCTGTTATTCGCAACCTGAAAATTGTGAAAGTATGTGAACTTAACATAAGTTCTTTTATATTTATATCCTTCTAGTCTACAAGCAGAAGCTAATATAATTTATTCCTCCAATGGCTTGTTTTATCCTGAAGTTGTGGAAGGATTGCAGATGGTGCTGGTTAGGATAGATTATACGGTAGAGCTTTGTAATCACTTAAACTAATGCTTAATATCTTGCAAGTCCTTTCCTCTTCGTATTTTTATCGACTGCTGCAGCCAAAGCAACTCTTTATCTTGTAATTCATATATATGATGTTCAAGATGTATCTTGACAAAAAATCACTTTTCGAAGTTAGCAGCATTATCTTTTGATGATACTTTTAGGATTGTGGTACTTTGATCGGAGTTTGGCAGGGTTTACTCTCTTTAACTGTTGTTTAGTTGTAAAGATGTTTTGGATATTTTATTTGTTTGTTTAAGTTTCACAAGATTTAGAAGTGATGTCTCAATTACTTTTATTACCTTTCCTATAGGACAGGTCCAAGATTTTGATTATGGATGCTGATGGAACTCGTTCCAAGGGTGTTGCGAGATCATTGAGAAAGCTTGGAACTAAGGCAAGTATGACTGAAGCTGATAAATAATATATATTTTTCAATTGCGTAACACCCCTTGTAGATTAATACTTCTATTACTGATGGGAGAAATAGATAATAGTAGCAAGGTTCGCACACTCCAAGAATAATGAATTGTTGGAAAAGTTATAATAAATTTGGGATTCCTATAGGTAGTTTTAATGTGTATAGGTGAGTACCAGTTTGCTCTAAACTTAGAGTGGAAAATATCCCGTGTGAATGGAAATGGTTCTTTTGTATTCAAAATGTGGTTCAAAACTGGTTCTATGCCATTTCTATCTGTAGTTGTTATTAACTAGATTCAGTTTTTGTATCCCAACTACAATTATTAAAACAATGAGAAATTGGAGATCTAATAATCTTAGTCTTTTGAAATGCATTGACCTTTGTTTCTTTTCTCTTAAGATTATAGTAATTTTTTGTATAATAAGTTACACATGCCAATTGACTGAACTCATAAATGCGTAAATATATTGTTTTTAGTAGTAAATTTCCAATTTTCTTTACTTATTTTTCTTTTGTAAGCGGACATTAGCATTTAATACGTAACTAAGTTTGGATTTCTCAGTGATAGGACATTTTATCATTCGGTGTGTAAGTTCTGAGAGAGAAAATCTGTGGCTTATATTTTAGTGTAGATGGTTCGTATTTTGGTTGCCTTTACTTGTTGCATAAATGCCACATGATTCCTAGGAAATTGAATTTGAATTGCTATAAGATTAAGGTTAGAAATGCATTAATGAAGCTTCTTCACATTACATGCATTGATACTTCACTCAATATTTTTTCCAGAAATTCGTTATCAAATAATTTAATGATAATTTTAATATCATCTTATGTACGATAGAGTCCATATCTGGTCAAGGGTGGCTTTCGCTCTTGGGTAGAAGAGGGTTTCCGTGTTAAAGAGCTAAAAACCGAGACAACGCTCGTGATACTCAGTGAGGTACATAATGAATTCTTGACAGCTCCTCTGTTGCAGAAAAGTTTCTTGAGTAATTTTATTGGTCTTTATCAACTTTTTTCACATTATATGGGAGAATGCCAGTGGTTTAAACTTCTTTTTGGGATCTCTGGATTGAAATGGTCTTCTACTCTATTCTACCAAAAATAATGGGAAGGATTGGTTCAATAGATTTTTCAGATTGAGCAAAACTGTTGTGCACGAGCTGTCTTGATCACTTATATTTTTCTCTTCTGAGTTTTTTTTGTAGAACTTCTAATTATTTGACGAAAATGTAAGCTAAATTATGCTCTTGTGAAAGTAATTTGTATTGAAGTTTGATTGAACTGTTTTTGAGTTGTCTTTGATAGTTGTCATCTAGCTGAAGCAACACATTGTAAATGATGACATTGTACCTTATAAATCATTTGAGACAATTAATCTACTGATAACAATAAAGGCTTTGTGATTTGACACACAGATATGAATAATCACTTCTTGACTTAGTTTTTTCGAAACTATTAAGGGGATCATATTGAAAAATAAAAAAGAGTGTTCTTGTTAACTTAATAAACGTATCATGAAGTGTAATGTGTGCAACTATTAGGATCATAGTGCAACACCTCCTAATTTAGACTTTAGCAAGCGTATGGAATTTGATATTTTGCCCCTGTTTAACTCCCTTTAAAACAATACAATACAATTTAATTCTCATACTCATTTTCAACCACACATTCAAACAATAAAATATTTTGCATGTAAACTCAAAAAACTTTTCCTGCTTTTTAACCACACATTCTCTAAAAAATCACTATTCAAAACATCATTTTTACACAATAATGGCCATCAAACAGGGCTTTATAACTTTCTTTAGGGTTTCAATAAGCAGCCTGACTTGAGTATTTGGTGAGGGTGTGTGATTTATTATGATACTTTAAAGAATTAATGGAAAAGTCAGAATCAATTATAGAAAATATTTCTCAACCAAACCGAAGTCTTCAGTTTGGGATATGATTAAACCGAACAAGATTTTCTCGTCTATTCTTTGGTGGATTCTCACCTGATGCACTTCAGTAACAACTGAACCAAATGAAACGAAACCTTGTACGACAATCATGTGGTAGACTAACACTTATAGATAATTATTGTTTCCTCTTGCTTTTTTTATTGATATTAAATTTTTTAATGATATATTTCTCTTAATCCTACATTGGAAATTCGTTGACATTCTAATGCGGACCTGGGTTTTAACAGGAAGCTGAAGCAATTCTGGAGGACATCAAACCAACTCCGTTAAAACTCCTTGGATATGGAGTGGTTAGTCTTTTTACTAATGTTGGAGTTTCGTAATTTCAACCAATTGAACAATGTCCGACATCTGATGATTAGACTGAATGAAAATTCAAATTTCTTCCAAACATGGGACAAGTTTCCTTTTAGGCTACTTCCACTAGCCACTAGGTGGCCTTGGAAAGATATATTTGATTACCTCTATGCCAAATTAAATGTTTCATTTCCTAGTGGGACTATTAGTAGTAGGAATAATGATAATAACGCAGTTATCATAGAGGATTCCTTTGTTCCAAAGAGTGGTTGTTTCATGGATCTAGGTTCGATTATTAACAATGAGGGAATGAAGAGCATGTAATACATAAGTTCTACTCTTAATGAATCCAAGATAGGCTAAAATATTAAATTGAGGATGGAATAGTAATATATCTAGTGATAATTAAATTTATCTGTTATTCATTGAAATTATCTCGATAAAGAGTGTGAGTTTTAATCTCAGATTGTTTGATGTACTAAACTGTGGTTCACTAAGATACTGGCAATTGGATGCAGCCATATCATATATTGTTACTAAATCTATGAACATTCCAAAGCTTAAAATTCTATTTTCATAATAACCAGTTAACTTGAGTTCTGTATGGACAGGGTTTTTTTGCTGCAGCTTATGTATTAACAGGTAACTTTGTTATGTTCTCTCTCATCTATTTATCTTTGAGCACACTTGAGCATATCCATTATGACTTATGAGCCATGAAGATCATTGGGCAAAACCAAATTCATAATTATTTTCTCATGGCCTTGATATATTTATTTGTATTTGGGGTTAATAAGGCCTGAAAGTATTTAGTGAAATTTATTTATAGTTCGCTGCAAAAGCTTCTGCATGTTAACTCGTATTCAACATCTTCTGGGATCTTTTTGGACATGACATGCAGAAACTTTTACTATGAACTCTAAACACTAATGTTATGATATTTTGGTTGGGATTCCTATAGATGTATGAAGTAGTGGGCTCAGTTTGTCTTTTTCTGGAGGACCATGATGTGACAGTGTCACAGAGAAATTGTGCAGCCCTTCAAATTGTTTTGTTCTTCCTCTCTTTAATTTTTTCTGAGAATTTTCGAAGTGTAATTTGTTGTCCATTGGTTTAGTTCAAACTTCTGTTTGTTTTGAGTTCTACTGATACAAAATACCAAGTGTTTCTGTCTTTGAAGTTTCCTAGCTAGCATGTTCTCATATTCTTTCAGTGTATGGACCAAAACTATATTCTTTAGGCTTTCTTCTCCCAACCAACCAACTGAATGAATATAATCTTATGGCAGAGTGGGAGAAGTCGCTGCAATTCATTGGAGTTGTTGGCCTCGGCCAGGTGATTATTCATGAGTCTTGTCTAGGATAAAAATCTTCAGTTTCCTATCTCTGAAAAATGTCTTATCTTGACATTCATGTTGCTCAAATTTATTGTTACTCGATGATGCAAGTTTATAGAACTTTGAATTTCATAGATATTGTTTTGGATGTGGAAACATGGTCATACTCGGGAAATATTTTGTTACATGCTGATTCAATTTGACATTAGCTGATGAGAACGTGCAAAGATTTACTACTCACGTTCCTAATGAAGGATCTAAGTTATTATACTATCTTCATTTCTTGAACACTTGATAATATTGTTCAAAGTGCAGGATCGTTTTGGAATTTTTTAAATTTGTTTGATATCTGGGTTTGGCGTGGTGTAGAACTTTGATCTTGTCCTGTTTCCTTTTGATCAATTTATCGTAATGTTATTTGTTGGTCAGATTTTTGTCTGAGTCCATTCACGGAAATATAATCTTTTGATCCAATAATTTAGTTTTGACAATTTACTCCAATGCAAAATGTGAACTATAATTTGATCGAAAATGCTACTTGATTGTGGAACACTTTTCTTTATCATTAGAACCTGTAATTTGTCTTCCTTTCTAAGGCTACATGCTAGGTTCATATTTCTGAAGTACTTGTACCGTTTCAAATCAAAAAAAGAAGAGGAAATTATTTTGCATCTTGCTTGAAATTGCAAATTTCCAGTTCACTACTGCCCTCATTTTTTCACTCTAACCATTGTCAGACTGTATATCGACGAGTGGCTTCTTATGAGAATGCAGAAGATTTTCGACGGGACATGAGGTAAGAGTTTAATTTGTAATTTATAAGCAAACAATTATGTTGCATCATGTTTGTATGTATTAGTATTCTTATTGATATATGTTATGAAACGGGAAAATATAAAGACAACAAGTGATACTCTATATGAACAAACTTTGCGGGGGAATACAGAAAGCGAAACTAATAACCCAAAATACGCCTGCCATGCCTGACAATTCAACAGTCCTTTATGCAAGTGTATGCATAAATTTATATATTATATACACGCACATATATGGGTGTGCAGGTGTGTAGGTGTGTAGGTATGTATTCATCATCTTCATCCTCTTCTTCAAAAGCCCCTGTAAACCACCTCTGCCTCCTCTATACTATATGTGCAGTTATTTTCTTCGAACAATATTTTTTCTTGAGTTGAGTTAATCAGAGGATCTAACACGTTTCTTAGGAGGGCTACTTGGATTCTATATGATTGTCATCTATGTTTGCAGCCATAGCAGTGTCATTGTTTATCCTTGTTATTTAAACATATCAGAGCCTTTCTCTCTTCACTGATGACTCCCTTCCTCTGCTCGACGGAATCAAGTTGGTTGAGCATGGGTAGAGTCGAGCTGAGGCCTCCAAGGCACTTGACCCTTGTTGAATTTACTGTCAAGGGCTCAAGTTAATATTTTTAGTATTTCCCATTCTTTATGACTATTTGTTTAAGAGTTCTGTTCGATGTAAACTAATGTTTTTTTCGGTCTTCCACTTTCAGTCTAGTGCTAGCTCCTGTTCAACAAGGAGTTGAGGCAATTTTATGGGCTGCTGGCAAGCTAGAAACAAATCGTAATGGACTACCCACCTCTCCTTCATCAGCTGATGTCCAAAGCAGGGTGTTGCAAGCTGCAGCAAAGCACGAATCTCAACCGTCTGATAGCAAAGAAGTGCAAGACTCATCTCAAGTAGCAGTTTCTGGCAATGAGAATGTAGATTTATCTGAAGCATAGAACTTAGAATTACTCTGCATCTTATTATCGTTCCTTGTTTCACCGTCATATTTCATAATCAATAGGAATTCGATGATGCCAAGCGAGATGAAATTTCTTTTCTTGTAGCCTTAGTTTTTAGATTTATGTTTCATTTCCCTGAAAATTATGTGATGTTGATAACAAGAAGTAATACTGAAATTCTTGTTTGTCCATGACCTGGAGATAAAATACATACGTTTGGACATTCGATGGGTTTCACCAAAACAGAGATGAACATTGACATGGGGAAAGTAACTTTGGTCTTTTGTTTCTTATAAATACCTCCACTATACAAGATGTGAACAAAACACGCACAGAAAATATATGCTGCCAAATCATGCCAAGTCCAAGTCCAAAGACTAAAATTAAAATTTCAAGATCTGAAGTCTTACTACAAAGCTTAAAATTTCAAGATCTGAAGTCCTACTACAAAGCTTTCTTTTTCATTACAGGTTTTTACCTTTTTTTTTTTTTTATAATTTTTTTTTAGCAAATTTTTTGATTACAGTTTATTGTCCAGTATATAAGAAGGAACTACTCAGATAAATAATCTTCAGCTCCACTGTAGTGATCATCAGCATCAGTGTGGTGCACACCCTTCCCATCCATGCCGAATCTTCCCTTCGAAGGTGCATAATCCTGCTAATAAGCATGCCATGAGACGATACTGACATAATAGCTAAACTAACGAACAGAATGGAAGAATCAAGAGTAACATCAACCATACCTCAGCATCTTTCAATTCTCTGGCAGAAAGAGTGGATCTCTTCCTAACTGTCACCCTTTCAGGCACAGGAAATTGTTCAACTTCATCACTTGATTTTCCTTCCGCCGCCCTCTTTTTTCTTAACATGAGCTTTGTCGGAACGGGCTACATTAAGTTCGATGTGAATTAGAACAAAGAGGCATCCTCTACAGAATTTACAAGCTAAATATTAGAAACTTACCAGGAATTTGGCTTCTGAATCTCCTAATGCCAGGAGATATGTAGTAGGGTCATCTGCATCATCACCTCGAACCTGTGGAACCATTATCAAGATACGATATGCGAACAGCTGCAGTAAAAGATATTTGAAACTGACAATAAGCTACATTACGTACATCCCAGTGATACTCTCGGAGCCATGAATAAGCAATATCTTCGTTTTCATCAACCATATCCTTCTTCAGCTGCAACCATTCACACCAAATTAGCTCAGAAGAAATCATCGGCATATCAATAAAATATTTAGAACATTTTTCATTATTTAAAATTCTTTACCTCACCAATTGATGGCACCATGTATGACAAAAATTTATCAGGTCGGTCTGTACTTGAGCTTGAAGCCATAAAACTTTTCATAATTGCCTGTACAGTGTATGGATAAATTAAAATTCCAGTGTTAATCCTTATATACTCTAATCTTTGCTTGTCAAAGAACATCCCTGGTAGAGTTTTAAGTATCTACCAATAAAACCATCTGAACAAACTCTTCCCTTAGCATCTAAAGAAATTACAAGTAATTGAGAAACCAGGAGGTCATCTAGGAATAAAAACTAGGCTTGCAAAGGAGATGATCAGTATCAAAATATTTCGATTATATGGGATTCAGATATCAAGAGTCCGCCAAAAATTGAGACTGTGGGTGGGGGGCACAAATGACTCGAGAAAGAAATATCAAGGAGCAGATTGAAACCTATTTACCAAAAAATGTTGAAACTCTACAGCTGTTAAGAAGCTCTAAGATAATCATTTTCTAGTATAGCATATCAGAAAATGACACATCTCAACTTGCTTTATCCCTCCATATAACTGAGTAGACCAAAGGCGACAAAACAAAGCAGGAGAATCCCAATTTGCACGCTCCAACTACCAAAGAGTTTCCAAGTAACCTAACCTGATAAATTTTCTCGTTGAACTATATTAATCCTACCCAAAACACTTTTTTTCCCATTCTTCGTCAACTCTGTAACTAAAAAGAATTTCCAGTTTGAGTACCACTTGTATCCACTTATGATGACAAAGGAGGGTAATCTGTGCTTTGAAAAGTCTGCATAATTTGTCAACAAATAACAATATAAAATGTTGTGCAGTATCTGATTAGCCCTTACACGTTGTTCGTGCTCGTTGCGATCTCCTGTGTTTAGCTTGCTATAGATTTCTGAATCAGCTGTTGGAGCACTGTCAAAATTTGCAACCACAAACTGGTCATCATACCTGTCAAGACAAACGCCCATCAGTGCTAGCTTCAGATCTATGAAACTCGTGCAAATGATAGTAGGTCAATGGGGTGTTGATATTATCAAAGGGGGGAAAGGAAGGAATTTTGATAAAAAAGCATGAGTACTAGTGATCCACAACATTTCCAGTAAAAGTCCCAACATTGCCCTAATTGAGAACATTTTAAGCCCTTGTTTGAGCCCCATTTTCCAATAATACATTTTTCTCCAAACTCATTTTCAACCACATATTCTTTTAATAAAATAATATTACACGCAAACCTATAACTTTATCCTACTTTTCAACCACATATTCTCTAAAAATTCACTATTTCAAAATCTATTTTTACCAAATAATGGGGCTCAAACAAGGGCTAAAGCATGCATAAGAAATTGAATGATTCTGGAAATATGTGTTCGTGATATTCTGTTGGTTCTAAAGTAACCCATTGGTTGTACTCAAAGCATAGAAAATAAAACATTCTTCAAACTGTTCACATAAATCAAATGATATTTATATTCAGAACTTCGACCAAATATCCTAAATGAACATATTATGGGAAATGTACATATTAACAGAAGTGGGGTGCAGGGCAAATATGAAACTGATTCACACATTACTAATCTCATTCAATAACAAAGGGAGTGCGATTCTTCAATCATGCATTCATGAGTCCCCACCTTTAAAAGAAACGAAGCCATGAATAAAACTCAAAAGACAGTTTTCAACAGAATTTCCACCATAATGCTGGATCTCTAGTGGTATCGAGGATATGAAAAGCTTATGAGAATCAAAACCATCTTTTGCAAGATTTGAATCATTTGCTGTTAGTTTTACGTCAATAGTGGAAAATAACTCGAAATTCTCTGACAATGCCCATCCATATCATCTCATTTAATCAACTTGAAGCACAATTAAATAATTATGTTCTATTACTCTTTCTCAAAAGTCTAACATGCAAGGAACCACGTGCATGCTCAACGAAAAAGAAAAGATTATTGAGGGTGGTTTGCAGGAGAAGTGAAGTTCCTCATCAAAAACAGCCAAAAACTATGACGCTTGGGTATGGGTATTAGATATGTATTTAAGTTTCGGATTTTTTATTTTCTAAAATGTAGGATATGGGGACATGACTAAAAATAGTCCAAATTTCGAACATTGGTACGTGGATGTCTTTCACATTTCAATTTTTTTCCCCAAAAGTTCACATGTAAAAAGTTAAATAATAATTAAGTGGCAAATTATTAAAAGAACACAAATTTTTTTCTCGTCTCATCTCCTTCCACGTTTCATAATTAATGTCCATCAAACAAAATAAATTATTTTTATTTTAGCTATAGCAGATAAACTGATACGCAAAATACAAACTATATAACTTAAAAAATAAGATTCCGTTTGACCCTCATTATTTCCCATTAAATTATAATTCATTTTTCTCTCTTCTTATCAACCACAATTTTTCCAATAAAATAATATTACACGTAGACCCAAAAACTTTTATTTCTTTTTTAACCACACATTTCTCAAAAAATTACTATCCCTCTCATTATAATGTGGAACAATTGGGCCAAACGGGCGCTAAATTATATAGGAGTGTAAGGACTTTAGTGCAGTTTCAATTAGATGACAATCATGTTAGAATCCTCTTATTATAGGCCAACCTACTAATCTAATCGGCCTATTAACTAAAAATACCCAAATAACAAAGCCCCATTCTTAAATAACCATTTTAATCCGACTTAACATCCCATAGCCCAACCCATTGTATACAACCCACAACCCAAAGACCATCATACAGCTCAACACAACCTTTCTTATAGGAGTGTAAGAACTTTATTGCAATTTCAATTAGATGATAATCAGGTTAGAATCTTCTTATTACAGGCCCAACTACTAATCCAATCGGCCTATTAACTAAAAATACCCAAATAATGCCCTATTCCTAAATAACCATTTTTAATCCCACTTAACATCCCATAGCCCAACCCATTGTATACAACCTACAACCCAAAGACCATCATAAAACTCAACACAACCTTTCTTCTCCAAACCTAATTCCATGGCCGTTGCTTTCACCGACCACTCTACTGTTGGCAACCCATCACCCAACTTACTCGTCAGTCTGAGCTCCATCTCTGATGGATCACCACCCACCTACTACTACAAGCAGTGGCCGCCGCTTACAATCACCTCACCTGTGAAACTTGAAGGATCTGACACATGTCCCGTTCCCGTGTCGGGTTGACACGGGTTCTTCGGTTGGAATGGAGAGTTTGACCATAACGGGCCAAAAATGTTCAAAAAGAAAAAAGGAAAGGAAAATAATTGTGTAAAACAAAATTCAAATACAAGATGAACTAAAATCATAATCGCTTCTTTTTCTCCCCCATAAACACCATGTATTTTCTCCTTCCAACATATTCAAATGAATGGGTGCTCACTACTACATTGCATATAAAAATTAAATCGACAAAGACTGTACCGCTCCAAATAAGGGATAAGTGGTAAAACCCTTATAGGCTGTAGTTGGGGGTTGACTGCATGAACAGGCTTCGAGTTGCTTGTCTTGAATGAAGTCTCAATGTTCCGAATTTTCCCTTCCCTAAAGAAAACAAAAAACAACATTATTCCAATATCAAACTAAAACCCAAGCAATATACATCTGGAAGTTTTAGATACTAAACATGAAATATATA